CTCTCGCGTAATTTTTACGTATGTAAATGAAATAGAGGCAATGTATGAAAGGTTGTGCGTAAACGCCTAAATTGAACCCTCACTCAACTTTTACGTCTATGGGCAAACGTTCATACATAGCCTCTATTTTATTTACGCGCGTAAAATTAACGCACGTACGCACGTAAAAATTACGCGACTGTGGAAACCTACATTAAGGTGTCTGTCACATATGGGCTTTGATTGGAGAGTACTAAGCCCCAAATCGCGCATGTTTTCTCCGAATGATATCTATCTGAAGAATGGCGGTCGAAAGGGACTGGCGAATCAGTTTATGTTTCGGACTTTTTTTTCTTCATTAAACTCGCTTGTTGACGAGTCGAGATTTATCTTAATGACGTAAATGCAAACACTTTATTAAAAACCTACTTGTACCCGTTATAACACTTTCTCATGGAACATCTTACGCCTCGTTCACACGAATCAGGAGATTTTTCTCTGAAACCTCGTATTTCTTTACCCGGATTCGTGTGGACGGGGCTTTAGGCCCTGCCCATTATTATTGGTGTTGCGCGGTTTCCCATCGCTCCTACAACTTATAAAAATACAATGAATATGCTAAGTTCAGATTGTGTTTTCCTTACTGTCAAATGTTTTAGTTTAGATGAAAATGAAGCATCTCATTAAGATTCTCATCTTGCTGTTTGCTGTGACTTTGGTTACGGGAAAACCAATGCCAGACGAGTGGGACCTGGTACGGGACAACGACATAGGAGCCTGGACCGACGAGGGCGATTTGAGCGGTGACGCCCGAGAATTTATAAACTCGAAAAGTAATGGAATCTGTTGCCAAATGCATTTGCCTTGCTGTCCAAAATAGACATGATAACTTTTTATTAGATTTATTGATAGCCTAAGTGAAAACATGCATAGCTGGGCGAGCTGAATTCTGCAGGGCTGATCATATACTATATACGAGAAAATTAACTTTGCAAGACATAAACACGATACCGATAGAACCCAAAACAGAGGAAGATTGTAGCTGAGAGTCCTACTTTGTTTAAATCCATGATACTGGAATTATTACGTGCACAGTATTCTCCACAGTTCTCCTTTTTCACGTAATTAAATAAGCTGGTAATTATCCTGATCTTGAATATCTGTTTCTTTGTTTTTAACGGAAGTTCCCTTAAACGTTCTCTTTCAATATTACTTCTCCCAGTTTTTCCTTGTTTTGTTTTTTACAATGAATGGGTAGCCTGCCAGCAAGCTCTCTGGGAGCAGGAGGGGCTCTGATGGTCTCTGGGTGTGGGGGATGGGGAGAAAACGACCCCAGAAATCCCCAAGACTTATAACGGCTATAAGAAACAATGCCAAGCATTTTTTGTCAACTTATTGTAACCAATTTTACCAGTAAGCTTGTCGTAGATTAAAAGGAACCCCCAAAATTATAATGGACTGCTATTTCGTAAAGCACAAGAAACCCTCGGGCAAAGATCGCATAAAAGGATAAGAAAAAAAACAGTATTTGTTTAAAACGGAAATCGATCGCTGTAATCAACTATTTTAAGATGGAAACGAGGCGATTGGCTCATTCTTAGAGCCCGTTTCGCCTCAAGTTTTTACACCCGATATCACACTACTGCTCGTTTTAAACAGTACTTCAAGTAAAGAGTACTGAATTTAATCTAGTTATTTTACATAGAATCTTAAAAAATACCACTGTCAGCTCAAGAAACTTGCAGTTTCAATGGAGTGTAGTGACATTTAATAAAAACGCTATCTCCGAGTTGCCTTAGGCCATATCATAAAAAGACCAAGTGCGCCGAACCATTTATAAGTAAATGAATTTATTTGCGTATGAATGGAAAATAGTTTAGTATGAGAAGATGTCCACCTGGATTCTCTTTAAAAACGAGGCTTAAAAGATAATGACCAATATATTTTGCACTACTTTGTTCCGTGCATCATTTGTTGCAGCAATATCCCTCGAGGCGTTTGTATTTCTTCCGTTAACAGAACATTTTGAGGCAGAAAAGTTTTGAGGTGGGTAAAAAGTGATTGATTTCTCTTTCATTTTTTATTCCCTCGCGTAGAGAATTCCATGAAATCAGTAGATTTTTCTCTGAAACAGCGTATTTCTTTACCCGGATTCGTGTGGATGGCTTTAGGTCCTGCCTATTATTATAAGAGTTGCGCGGTTTCCCATCGCTCCTACAATTTATAAAAATACAATGAATATGCTAAGATCAGATTGTGTTTTCCTTACTGTCAAATGGTTTAGTTTAGGTGAAAATGAAGCATCTCATTAAGATTCTCATCTTGCTGTTTGCTGTGACTTTGGTTACGGGAAAACCAATGCTAGACGACTGGTCCCTGGAATGGAACAATGACAAAGGAGCCTGGACCGATGAGAGCGATTTAATCAGTGTTTCCCGTGAATATATAAACTCGGAAAGTGATACAGTCTGTTGCCGTATGCGCGTGCTTGTTTGCTGTCACAAATAGACATGATAACTCTTTATTAGATTTATTGATAGTCTGAGTCAAAACATGCATAGCTGGGCGAACTGAAATCTGCGAGGTTGATCACATAGCGTGAAAATTAACTTTGGAAGACATAAACACTACACCGATAGAACCCAAAACAGAGCAAGGTTGTAGCTGAGAGCCCTACTTTGTTTAAATCCATGATACTGGAATTATTACGTGCACAGTATTCTTCACAGTTCTCCTTTTTCGTGTAATTAAATAAGCTGGTGATTATGTTGATCTAGAATATCTGTTTCTTTGTTTTAACGGAATTTCCTAAATACGTTCTCGTACAATATTATTTCTTCTCCTAGTTTTTCCTGTCTTTTGTTTTGTTTTGTTTTTTTACAATGGGTAGCCTGCCAGCAAGCTCTCTGGGAGGGGATGGGAGGGGCTATGATGGCCTCTGGTGGTGGGGGACGGGTAGAAAACGACACCAGAACTCCCCACAACCAATAACAGCTATTGAAAACAATGCCACGATTTTTTTGTCAACTTACTGTATTTAATTTTACCAGTAAGCTTGTCATAGATTAAAAAGAACCCCTTAAATTATACTAAAAAGGAGAAAAATAAACCAATATAAAGCTTTTTTAACATGGAAACGAAGCGATAGCCTCATTAGTGGACAAGAATGTGTTAACACGACATTAACCTCGTTTGGATACCTTTTTAAATTAAAGAATAAGGTTCCCAGTTTACATGTATAGTTCATGGTAGAAGGGTCACTCGCCGAACCAAAGTACCTTGAGCGAGCCTACGTTTCCTACATTTCCTTAAAAACTTGGCGGACCGTTTATATAAGAGACAAACTTTTTGCTTGTATCAGCTAAAAGGGTGACCCGTCTATTTCCGGGTAGCCCTTTTTAGATGGTAGGGTGACCCTCAAATAGACACTTTGGCTCGCCCAGCCGGGTTATCTCGGTCAAGGAGAAATAATCGCAGCATACACGAACGCTTTTATCACCTCTTGGCTCGGGCAAAGTGGTCAGCTTTTTTTTCATATTAACAGCTGTTAAAGTTGAATCGGTTTGTGAAGATGACCATCTGAGCTCACTTTGAAAATGAGGCTTAAGACAAAATGTCCCGTATATACTTTGCACTGTTTTTGTTGCATGCACTATTTGCTGCAGCAATATCACTCGAGGCATTTGTGTATCTCTTTACAGCAGAAACTTTTTGAGGTTAAGTAAAATGTTATTTCTCTTTTATGTTTGATTCTTCGGATAGATAACCCGCAAGAGGATTGATCGTGTCGTAACTTTTCATTAATACAATGGTTTGTTGAAGATGCTTGTCAGAAAACGTACGAGATATTCTCTGATCTTTGATGATTGAGAGTTTGTTCTAGGCTGGAAAGGACTGAACGCTACTTTCGGTGCTCAATTTGCCGTTCTGCCATTGATAAAGTCGGTTTTCAGCTTTGCGCGCACCGTCCTCACGGTCGTCATATTGTCTTTGTTAAATCTGTCCACTAATATCTCTGGCTTAGTTTCACTGTAACCTTCCTCAGGAGGGATCACAAGGGCTTACATTATGTTTCAACACTATAGTCGAACCTCCATGCGCGACCACCTCTCGCCAGAGTGACCAAGTCCAAAAAGTAATGACATTGCACCCTAAATGTAATTAAGTTCGAATAACATTTTCCGTCAATTGTAATTAACTCTTAAGTGTAATGACATTCGGTCTTAAATGTCATGACGTCGTGATAACGCCATCAATGACGTAAGTAACCCCTTCATAAACTGGTTATGACATTGATCTGTCACGCCATCTCCACCCGGGATCCAAGCTGAACAGTCAAAGCCTTATCGTTCAAACCTCTCCTAAACGACCACCTTGGTCTCTTAAGCGACCGCGACCACTTTTTACGATGACGGTTTTATAATTTTCCATTGTTTCTAACCCCTTGTAGGCGACCACTTTGCGTGACGACACTAAAAACGGCTGTGTAGCAGGCTAGGATTTTGGGGGTAGGAGAAAATTCTAGTAAGCAGGGTTTTTAAAAAGGGAGGATTCGAGGTTAAAATGTGACAAGTTAGGATCGCGAAAACTACATTTGCCTAAAAGTGACTAAGATGGTGTCTAAAATTGGCCACCGAATATCTGGTAGGGGGCTCTGCTGAGAGGCCAGCGGCACACCCCGGGGCACACCCAGCCAAACTTGACCCAAGTACATGTGTAACCCCCGGGATTCTCCAGTTATCGCGACTACTAACCCCTAATTACTAAATGAACTAATTAATTACTAAATGAATTAGCCCAAGATCTGCAGGCGCTATTTACGTTTGGCTTGGTTTACAAAATTCTGTCAGAAAAGGCGCGAGCAATTATATTTGTCCCAGGAAATCCACTACGCCTGTAATCAGTTTTTTCAGCGGAATCTACCCTGTCCATAAACTACGTAGTGGCAATGGCATGCAAAGTCCCTTCCCTTGCTCCCAGAGAACAGCTGATCGAATCCTTTTATATTGCCTTTGATTTCAATGGAAGCTTCGCAAGAAGCCACAATTCGCACTGTTTCAAGCACACAACAACTCTTCCTTCCAAAAGAAACACTTGATCATCCATTTGACGTTACTCTGGCGATCCAAGATGGGAAGGAATTCAAAGCGTATAGACGGGTTCTTTCAGAGGCGAGTCCTTTCTTTGAAAGGCTGCTTAAAAGTGACATGAAAGAGTCTATCGAAGGAGTTATCCACTTAGAAATGACAAACGAGCAATGTTTGGGGGATATATTGGAATTTATCTACACAGGCCATGTTCAGATTTCGGCTGCAGAAGAAAATGGTGCTCAAGACTTGATCATAATGTCAGACTACTTGGTTTTACCACGTCTGAAGACTGTTGCTGGAAAACGTTTAGTGAAGGACTTAAAGATATCAAATTCTGTTTCATTTTACCAGTTTGGCTTGAAATATCAATGTGACGAGCTCATTTTCGAGACCAGAAACTTCATTCATGCCAATTTCATGCACGTAGCGCAAACGGAGGAGTTCTTGAGCTTGTCGTGCGAAGAAATCAAAATGTGGATTTCAAATGACAACATTTCTGTAACTGCCGAAGAAGATGTATTCAAGGTCATTCTTAGATGGGTGAGTCGTAACAAACTGGTGCGGAAGAAATATTTCCCCGAGTTATTCAGTGAAGTTCGACTTGTGTATGTATCACGTGAGTTTTTATACAGCGACGTCATGACAAGTGAGTTTGTGATTAGTGATGAACACAGCGTGGGGCTTGTTAAGGATGCTTTGAAGGTCATTGAATCAAAAGACTTTCAGCAGCGCAGTATTCGTCCTAGAAAGTCACTAGAGATGCCTGTCATGGTGATATGTGTACAAGGTTTCAGTAAACAGGAAGACAACATGCTATGTTGTTACTATCCGCTTGAAGACAAATGGTCTAAGTTTAATGGCACAGTTCCACCCAATATTGGAGAAATTGTACCCTGTCATGGAAAACGTTATTTTCATTTATTTCCTCATGAGGACGTTGGAGTCAGGGAGAGAAGACTGTTGTGCTATGATCCATTATCAAATTGTTGGTCTCCATTTCCATATGAGGATCACAGGACAGTGAAGAAAATATTTGCTATGAATGATGAGGCAATTTATGCCCTGGTGGCTGAAGATATACTATGTTGCCCTGACTGTACATCCCTGTACCTTCGTAAAATTCCTGGACCCTGTAGTAAGACCCCACATCTTTCTTTCTTGAGAAAGTACAAACCAGAAACCAATTCCTGGGAAGACATAACATCATTTGATTTGGACTGTAATTCAAGATCGGGGGTTTGTGTTGTAGCCAAGGACAATTTTGTTTATTTCATTGGTGGTGGTTGTTGCAGCCCAGATCGACATGAGATCCTTGGAAGTGCTGACAGATATGATCTCATCAACGATACATGGGAGAATTTAGCAAACCTTCAGCTTCCAAGATGGTATGCTCGCGCTACTGCAACACACCACAAAATTTTTGTGGTTGGTGGAGTAAAAGGTGATTTACTAGCTGAGAGTTGTGAAATGTATGATGAAGATACAAAGGAATGGCATTTTGTAGCAAGGCTGAGGAAGACACCATTTGATCATTACAATCCAACTTTGCTGGGTGTTGATAACAAGCTGTATTGTTTAATCCGACTAATTTGTGCATGGAATCGAAAAGACAAAATTGATTGCTATGACTTTGAGAAAAATGAATGGAAAGAGAAAACTCAAATACCATTTGAAGAACTGTCACCGCGAGGGTTGAAAAATGAATCTTACTTACAAATTACTTCATGCTGTTCAATGGGAATTTTCAAAAGACACAACTTTCTTCAACACGCCTCATTCAAAGACATTAAAACTGGGAAAGATAAATGCGCTATCATGTGACCTAACAAAGCAAAGACAGAAACTATTTTGTGTTCTGTTAGGGTCTGCTGTTGTAGTTTGTTTGTTTTTTTTTTTGCAACAATTTGTCATCAGTAATGATATGCACCATAACCCTGGAAACAGTGACATTCTAGTTCACAGGAAAAAATAACAGATTCCCATTATTGGATATTTTAGGGTATTTAAAGAATACCCGTAAAAATTCCAAATTTGGCAAAGTGAGACAAGTCCCAACCAGGGAACCAAGTTCCTTGGTTGAGAATATCCAATAATGGGAATCTGTTTTTTTTTCCCGTGGTTCTTAGAAGCTGCAATTTCTTAAATCCTGGGATTTATCGGAGTGAAAATAATTTCTATTTCCCAACAAAAAACTCCAATTTTGTAAATTATTTGTAAATTTGCTGTAATTGAACAGCATGTAGATATAATTTTTGTGAACTTGACTTAATTTCATGTTCAGTCTTTTTTTTGTTTCATGCTTGTGATATGTAAATTATTTCATTTTCCCCTTTTTTACATTGTAAAGTGCCATGAGCTCAGGATATGAGCGCTATATAAATAAAGTTATTATTATTGTTATTATTATTCATAAACCGTCTCCCAACTGGTGGACTTAACAATCAGCAAATCAGAACCTACTTGTTAAGGGCCAGTAAGTAATTCTGCTGCAAAATAGTTGTGCCTCAGTGCTGTGAAATTCTCTTCCAGACACCATTATACAGTGAGAAAACATCAGTACTTCCCTATCGTTTTCTCGTTGATCTCTTACTTTACGGACCTTTACGAAACACTAATGAAAAAACGCCGGGCGAAAAAAAAACTGCAGGGTTTAGCCAAGTGAGAACTTTCACCAAATCTCACATTAAGAAATCGCTGACATATCATGACAACTTCTCATTGACATACGGCTTTTAGGTAGTCTTTTCCATGTACACAACATCTCAACTGAAAACGCAACCGAGCAGCTTAAAAAAGGTCGTAAACAGGAAAACTTGACTGACCAGGAGAAACGCACCAATCACTGAAACTTTGCGGCTCCATTAAACGTTTAACTTTAACACTGTTTGTTTTAGCCTGCGAAAACATCCGTTTCTCCTCGCTCTTTGCCGCTGGGGACGTTTCGCGCGAATCGTCCCCAGCGGCGAAGAGCGAGGAAAAACGGATGTTTTCGCAGGCTATGTTTGCTTGAAAATGAAAAACTTAACAGTTTTATCAGTCTTTTATTGGAGTAAACTTTCATGAACTTGTTTGTGTAACTGCTGTAATCCACCAAGAACTGTACTCAAGATTTTCAAAAGGGTTGTCATTACAAGAAGACTCAAAGATCGCAAAAGATAGGTATTAAAATGTATTGATACGGCATTACCTTCCCCGACTTACCTTAAGTCTCTTCATGTCTTTTCGTCTCCTTCGAACGTTTTCCCTGCAAACGTACCATGTGTCCCTGGTTTTGACGGTTAGTGGAGGCAAAGCTCCGAACTATTCCTAAATTAGATAATTTTTGTCATGTTGTTGACCAATCAAAAACAAATCTGATTTCATGCGCACGTGCAACTGACCATTAAAAAACTAGCACTGCACATGCACGCAAAGTTTTGTAAAGCGTCCGGTCCGTCAGGTGTGAAGCAACACGTTTTACTTAAAACTGGGGGGCAAAAGTGAAAAGCTTTCACTTGTACATGGATGAAGGGATATCATGGGAAAATAGTCAAGACTAGGGAGTTAACGAAACAGACGACGAAGGCATCAACTAGATTGTCAGTGTAAAAAAAATAAATCAAAAAACGTAAACTTAATGAGCAGAACAAGAACTTTGCACGTGCATCACAGTTTTAAGAACATTTCCTGGCCGTCCGTTTCAAACAAACAACATGAAATTTCTAGTTGAGAGGACGTTTTATTTAAAAGGACCAAACAAAATAATATCCTTCGAGCATATCCACACGAGGAATGAAAGGACGAGATCTAAAGCTATGGTCATTTTTTTACTTTGCTAATAAAAAATTGTTTATAATTTCATGTTTAAAAACTTGATGAGCCTGAAATATTTATATCATAATAGCGCACTTACAGCTCAAACACCCGCCAGTTAAACCCAGATCCGCTCGTTTGGGAACACGTCCTTTGTACCGCTTTTTACGTCATCAGCTATGACACGAGTCATACTTATAAGAGAAAGACATCCTCCGAACACAAAATTTGATTGAAAATATTGTCCCGCTGAATACCAGCCTCACTATTTTGAACAAAATGAAAACCTGTCTAGTTATAAATCCTTGCTGGCGGGCGTTTTCATTTCAACCAGGAGGAAATGGCTCGCGACGCACTCAGTACAAAGGAAAAAACTGAGAAGTTTGTTCGCGTTGTGTACCTTTTCTCAGCAGGTAAATGACAGGTGGTCTTTGTTGGAAATTAAATCCAATAAATTTTGGCTTGATTTTCGTCGTTGCCGTGATCGTCTAGTGGTTAGGACACTGCGTTGTGGCCGCAGTAACCCAGGTTCAAATCCTGGTCACGGCACTTTTTTCTTTTTGTTTTTCTCTCATTTAATTTTCTTTCTTTTTGTAAGGCAATGAAATATTTGTTTCAAAAAGAACTGTGTGAAATACAAAAACAAAAAAGACACCACTTAAAAACGCATTGTTGTCTACTATTTTTATTTTCAACTTTAATTTACAATTTTTTGGGTCAGCAATTACCACCCAAACGGCACAATGTAAATACAAAACGCCTCCAAATCTTACATCATAATGATACTATTGCTTTTTGTAATAAATATAAACATATTTCCCATTTTCCTTTATATTTCAAATATATTTATTGACTTCTTGAAGGTTAATAAATAGTAACTGTTCTAAGCTAATTCACCAAAAGCACATGCCACTCTAGCTTCAGTGGAAAAGACGTGCTACTTAATTTATTTCTGCAAAATTAGTGTAAAAACCTCCTAGTACAGACCCCTGTTTTAGATCTTGTTGAGTGATTCCTCATTCTAAAAGAGCCTAGGTCTTTGAAAATACTGATGACACGCAAATATTTTCTGACTTGGAGTTTAAGTTTGCTCATGCTTAAGTCTTTCTGGAAGAAGAAATGGGGGAGGGGTGATGAACCTATCAATGTTTTAAGGGAGGAGTGTGTTTTATTCAGTTGGATTCACAAAAGTCGCCTATGAATTGGCTACATCAGTGCACTATGGAGGACTAGAAATAACCTATTTACTTTGCGGAACATACTACATGTAAGTCAAGTACAGTGAGGGGACAAAGGGACTGACTCTCTTTGTTTCCTAATATTTTTTTAGCCACACATCCCACTGGTCTTGTACTTGATGCACCTACATACAGACAGGGTATAAAAGGTCTCATACTGCCCTTACTGTATCTTCCTAGTAGTAGGCTAATGGGGATGTGCTGCTGGATGGGGTCGCATTTTCACGACTGGATTGACTATTATGGGGTTGCATTTTTATAAAAGTTACCGGTACTAGAATGGGGTCACACCTTTTTAGGATTTTGGAGGTTAGAAAATTCAGGTATGTAGGGATTTAAAAATAGAGAGACTTATACCACATTAAGTTCAACAAAAATGTGGCAGTTCATTTTAGGAAAAGATGTTATAAGTTAGAAGCATAAGCAGAAAGTGACCAAGTTGGGATATGTGAAAATTACTTTTTTGCTAAAGTGACTAAGATGGGGTCTATAATATGGACACAGAATAGACTATAATGGGTTAGGGGTTCTGAGAGGTCAGCAGCACATACTCAGCAAAAATTAAGCCAAGTAACCCCCCACCGGTATTAACTATAGGGACTGAAACAATACACCTGCATCTGCTACCAGCAAATCACCCCCACCCCGCAGGCCCTACCTTAGTACATAGAAACTATTTTCAAGGACTCTGAAAGGAACATGCATCCCTCTGTCACATCTCCCCTCGATGTTCTTCCCTATTTACACTGGAACATAAATGCGAAATCAATAACAAATTTATAGTCTCTTTGTGGAGGAATAGCATTGTTATCATTGAATAACCTCAGGTGTTGCTGGAGTTGGTAGGTCCACCTCGCTTCCATAGTCAAAATAGTTCTCCCTTACAGTTGTTCTTATATCATGTTTGTCAACTTCAGCCTCTGAACTACTACTCCCCTTTCCTGCATCATCATCATCATCATCATTATCACACAAACCAAGAATATCGAGATCTGATGCAATCTTTTTAGCTTGCTCATCTGTCAAATATTCATCACCAGCCTTTGAAGAAGAACATGACTTAGCTGTGGTTGGTCTCGCAGATGAAGGCCGTGCAGATTTTGGTCTAGCCCTATGTGTAGGTCCTACCTGTTGAACACTAGGCTGGTCCAGCTGATTTGTAGAACTATCTCTTGATTCTTTTAACTTCTTTATCTCTGCATCAAGTATGTCTTTGACTTTTTCAATTGATGGCTTAAGCTCATTATACTTTTCATCAATTTCACGGCAGATTTGAACTTTACTGGGTTGTTTACAATTCTCAGCAGTACTATGATCATGATTGACAGGAGCTGTTGAACCTCCACCTTTTGAATAACTGTGTTTATCTATAAGTTGATTACAAGATGTCGTAGCCTTGTCAGTTCCCTGAGTTTCTGGATAGTCACATCCCTGGGGTTCAGGTCTGGGCTTTTTACTCGATATCCATCTATACTGACTGCTTTTCTTTGTTTTTGAGCCAGCCAATGGCCCAACAGGTTCTGTCAAGCGTGAATCCCTCTTCAAGCCTGTATCAACCTGTTTCCTTGGAGACATGATTTTTTCCACCCGTTTCTTTCCCAGTTCCTTTATAACAGCTTCTAAGTGAGCATCAATCAACTCTCGTTTTTTCTGAATGTCCTTGTTCTTGTCTTCACCTCTTTTGACTTTCAACCATTCATCATATCTTAGCGACTGCATTTTCTTAGGTGAATCATTTGCTGGCATGGCTGATGTGTCTTTTGCTGTCTTCTCTGTTGCAGTCTTTGGTCT